AAACCAAACGCAAACAATAGCAGCTGTCAGCAGCGCACTGGATCTAATTCCCGGTGTAGTATGTTTTGATACGATATTTTCCGGGAGTCCTTGGTTCAGAGGTATCGTACTTCGAGTAGTATTTGCAGTACAGATCTTTTGGATTGACTGTCATTACCAAGGAGAATAAGGTAAGCAGCACCACCTTTTCAAAAAGAAACTACTCGAGCACGTAAGGGTTTCAAAAAGAAAGAAACACAACAATACTACAAAGGTTCCCGGAGCAAATCTCGCGGCGCAGGTGCTGTACTGTCCGCATTTCAAGCTTATGTGACAACAGACCCCAATGCTATAGCATTGGAGCTGTCATGACGGCATGACAACACTTTCTTGTATTTGCTTACTGTATCTGACAGAGCGGATGGCACTCTGGAAGGAGCGATCACTTAGCCCACTTTAAGTGAGATGCTTGCAACATCACTACCGCCATCGCAGGCTAAGCAAACGAAAAATGGGAGCTCGCCACCGATTGCGAGAGATGCTTGGAAAACCACTACCAACATTAGATATTAACCATACAAAAGGATGGGAGCTAACATTGAGAGTTGAATTTGAGTGTGTCTAGCCATCGGGTTCACTTCCTATTTTTCATCGCACTACTCAAGTCACCGACGCCCACACAACTATCCAAGACCAAACATGCGTTTCACCCACTTCCTGCTCTTCGCTACGACAACTCTTCTCTATAGCTCTAATGCTAGTGAGACCGTCTCAGGCGAAAGCCAGGCCAAGTTGACTACAGTGACTTCGACTGACGCTGCGGCTCCAGCCCGCGCTGTCGATGGTAGGAACGCCAAGAGGTTGTTGCGAGTCGACCGCGAGGACGATGAAAACGAAGAAGATAAAGAAGAGAGAGTAAACCCGGCGCTGTTGGACGAGCAGGCGCTTGCCAGGTGGACTGCCAAGTGGGCTGCGAGGGCGGACGATTGGTTCGATCAAGGATACACTCCGGGTCAGATCAAGGAGAAATTGACTGGTCTGCGCGATGAAATGAGCCGGAAGAACGGGAGGAAGTACTACTTGTTTTTGAAAAAGTGGAATTCGGAGCATCCTCGCGGACGTGACTAGCGTACACAGCTTCACTGGCGATTAAGACCTGTGAAATAAAACCACAGCTTCTTCCCTTTCGCACTAATCAATTATACTTGTTAACCACAACGATCTGTTTTACACATTTTCTCTCATGTATAACACTGCGTGAAATGGATAGCTTGAGAGCCATTATATTATTATTTTACAGAGGGAACACACCGCCAACACCATTGTGACCACCACGATGAACGCTGCCCGCACCAAGAGCAAAGCAAATAGGGACGGCAAGCGACGGAAACTGCTGTCCTCAACAGGGATTATCTTTAATGGAGTCGGCGAGAGGTCTGGAACTGGTAGTTGCGTGCGTGGCGATGGTGTGGGCGAGATCGTGATGCTGTGTCCCAAATACACAAGTAAGAAGCAATGAACAGTTTTAATGTCTATCGCCTTAAATTTGAACAGTGGTACTGATGTTGGAAGTGAGGGAAGAGTCTGTACTTAGGATAGTTTTAGAGCTTGTATATAGTTCTACAGATTAACATTCCTCACCTAGTACAGCCCGTTGAACAACTTGTGATCAGGTTGACTTTGTTAAGGCGGTTGATGTGATTTACATTCATGAAATTTAGTGGAAGTCAAACGAAATACTTTGAATCTGGAAATGTATGGAAACATTTGACAGTACACCAGACTTTCGAAAAGTCTCGATTGCGACTATTTCAAAAAGATAGGAACTTGGGGGAGGGCGCGCCAAAGTAAAAGTGTCGCCCCCGCAGTTCGGACAGATGGAAGCTTCTAGAAGCTTCCACAAGCCGCCCTACATCTGCTAGTTTATTAATTACTATACTATACATTCCATAGTACTACTAACATTGCAATAAGTTAGTAATACCAACCAATCAGATACAGCGACCCTTTAAGAAGCTGTTTTGCGATGAAACTGGTTTTGGAATGATCGGTCACGTGATTCCACACCGTTAGGTACCACTCATTTCTATTACTTTGATTTTGACCTCACTTGAACGTTTCTTGTCTATCATTTCATTGTGGAAAGTTTCAAGTTATACAGTATTCTCAAGGGAGAACAACTCTACCAGTTCGGCGGAATAAAATTCTATCAAATATGGCAGAATATTATCAATATACGAGCTCATCTTAGACAGGTTCATGTGTAGAAAGTAGTGATGGGGATGTTACCTAACATTAACTTCCCGTAGAGAAAAAAGGGAGCATCATTTAAACGTAAGTTAACGTTAATTAACGTAAACTAATTTGTATGTACAGTAGTGATCTCAACCAATCATAACGGTTTGTAAAGGTGAGGCTCCAAAGTCATTATCCATTATTGTTCATATGTTTAGCTTCACTTTGCCGATCGGGTTTGTCCTTCACACACATTTTTAGCGGTAGAGTGACTCTCAGAAGAACATCAGCCAACTCTGGCGATTGCGTTGTGCGCATTGCGAGCTTTGCGAGGATAACATAGGGATTGGAGTGTATTTAGCAGTTGGTTAGACCTAAAGAAATTGTTTATGTGGCTAGTTCTTTCTTGGTGGCTTTCGTGTGGGTCCAATTGGGGTAGTCCGCGCTGTGGATACTGCCACTGAGGCGACTACGTTTCAGATGTGTCAAGAAGACCAGAGCGGAATACTTTACTGCTCCTCTTATCCGTAATCAATCAACTTGCGCTTCTTCGCCACTATAATAACGACACTCCAGATCGTTGATGTGATCTGGTGCCGCTCCTGGATCTTTGTGTAAGACGTCTTGCCGTCGGACAGGATGGCCAGTCACCTGTTGCTGGAGGATCCAGTCTCTAATATCGATTTCAGCTGTCTTCGGAAGCATTGGGGGCTGCCTACGACGCTTAGGCTCATGAGGCTGATTTTTTGCGTGCAGCAGCTACGTATATTTCAGCGTGCTATACCCGATATTCATTTGTTTACGCGTTGCCTTTAACGCTGCGCCAGCGAGAACAGCTTGGGTGGCGCTATGGAGCTCTGTTTCGCTGTACTTGGCGAGTATTTTCCGCATGGTGGAGAAGCGTGAGTGTGGCCACTGGCCACTGGCCAAAGTATAAACAGCTGGAGGAGATCAGGGGAAAGTTCGCTAGCTCAATATTAACCAAATACGATTGTTGGCAGCGGTCTAGCTTAATATAACAGGTTAAAAAGGACGAGGCTACGAAACATCGAGACCTACGACGGCGAGTATTCAGCCTTAATCTTCCGAGTCGAAGGAATGAGCGTGCTTGACCAAGTACTGCACTACGCGAACGGTCTCAAGCCGCGCACGCGTAGCTACGTCAAGCTCGAGAACACGGAGACCCTGAGCGAAGGAATGGACTTGTCAAGTACGAGGTGACACACTTCTTTGACGAGTCGCGCGAACGTCACACTCGCCAAGACAAGCGGAAGTCGTCCACTGATCAAGCGCCGAGTCATCTCAAGTCGTTCAAGGGAAATGCGTACCGTGGTAAAGGGCGTTTCAAGCCGAAGACTGCCCCGAAACGAGTCAAGGGTCGTACCTGTTTCCACGGCAAGAAACCTGGCCACATCAAGGCCAACTGCTTCCTTTGGAAGAAGGAGCAACTAAAGCAGGGAAACCGACAACCACGTCAGTGAATGAGGGTCCTGTCGTGGAGGAGAACATAGCCGGATCAGTTAGGTTTGAGAATATCAGTCTTAATGTTCTGTGCGAAAACCCTTTCGTCTACAAATCGCGTCCACTGTTCTCCGTCGAGGGGGAAATAATCGTTAGTGGAGTGACCTTTTCGACCCAAAGAATGCTGTTGGACTGTGGAGCAACCACAATCTGCGTGTCCAGACAGTGGGTCGAGAAACATCTACTCAAGGCCTCGAAATTCAATGATACGAGCATTCGTGTGAAACTCGGAGACAACCAGATTGTCGAAACGGAACTGGAGGTACTTCCCCTCGAAATGGTGTCTGGGTTGGGCGAGGCGTACAAGTGTATCACTATCGTCTACGCCATACCCGACGAATTCAACTGAATCCTTGGAATCCCATTCTTCGAGGATACGCAGCCGCAGATTGACTGGAGAGGTCGATGTATCGAAGGAACGCAAGTGAAGACTCGGCATTGGAAACGAACAGGGGAGACCTGTGGACCGATGATTGCCTCCGGGCTTCGGAGATCTGTCGAGGCGAAAGGCCTATCGGCGAAAAGACCCGATTTCTGCCGAGGTGCCGCGCTGGAAACGGATGTGAAGTCCGCGGTCGAAACGGTTTGCGACGCAACGGAGAAAGAGAGCCCAAGAATTGTTTGCAAACAACCAGGAGACGCGTCCGCCGGCAAGGGTTCGACGGTGAAGGACAACTTGGAATTGTCGAAACGCGACGGTACTGTAAGAGAGGCTGGAGATAGCAGCAGTACTCGGTGCAGAGGCACTGTTGTGGAAAAGATGTTCACGATGGGTGTCGTTGACGAGGCTGGTGTCCAGGCGAAGTTCATCACTCGCAAGATACTACGAAAGCTCCTGAGAACCAAGACCAAGTCGATCGATGAACCTGACTTTATGTTGATTCTGACGAACGAAACGATCAAGCAAGTTGCTCGTTCACTACAACGACAAGATCGACCCGACAACGTTGGGAGTGCGAAAGCACAACGGTATCTGGATACGGAATGGGAATAGCTTCAAGGAGAATCCAGCGTACCAGTTACTCACGGAGTATATAGACAATGTGTTCCGTCCTGAACTACCGGAAGATTTACCTGAGAAACGCGAGATTGAGCAAAGGATTGACGTGAAGAATCAGAATCTTGCAATGTATTGGCAACAGTGGCGTCAATCGCCAGATCAGCAACGCGAGATTTCGCGTTGGGTAGTAGACATGGTGAAGAAGAAGCTCATTCTTCCGAGTATCAGTCCACATTCGGCTCCAACCTTCTGTGTACGGAAACCTGTTGGCTGGAGAATCGTACACAACTACCGGTACTTGAACTCCAACACTGTACGCCAAGGTATCCCAATGACGAGGAAGGAGGACATCCTCGACGCGATGTCCGGAGCGTACTGGTTTTCCACAATGGATTTGATGTCCGCGTACTATCAAGTACGTATGCGTGAAGAAGATATCAAGTTCACAGCATTCCAAGCGCCAAACGGACTCTGGGAGTTTCTTGTTCTGCCCATGGGAGTCTGTAATGCGCCAGCGACGATGCATCGTTTAACGTCAAAGCTGTTCCGAGGTTTGAAAAACACCAAGTCGTTTTACGATGACATCTATGTTTTCACAAAGTCTAAGAACATAGACGACCACTTGAAGGCGTTGAGCAAGACATTAGATATCCTGTGTGACCACAAGCTGTACGTCAAGCTTGCCAAGTGTGTCTTCTGTGCCGACGAGATTCCGTGTCTCGGGGACTTCGTAGGACGCAACGGCGTACGGATGGATCCGGACAAGGTACAAACCATCAAGGACTGGCCAGTACCACGAACACAAGAGGAACTT